TTAACTCAATCAAATTATATACGTCGGACTAATTGGATATCCATTTAGTTATAATCAGATGGGATTGATGTGAAAACATGATCTGTTCATCAGATCAAATTCAGATGTTGCTTAAACTCATTGTTTAACTCATGAACTCATCACATCAGCTTCAATAACCAAGACAAAAAAAAAAAATCAGGTATTGAAGTTCAAGTAGAAATAAAATTTAAAGGGTTATTTACTAAAATATCCCTATAGAAATACTAAGACCTATCTTATCGTTTGTATATCACTGAGACATCCCTTTACTTTGCAATTACTTTATTGGTAATTATCTTAGGTTGAAGTGGAAAATGATAATTTTGATCCTAACATTCATTCAATCAAAATAATTAAAAGAAAACAAATAACTGAAATGTTCATTTGAAATAACAGAAAATAAAATAAACAATAACAAATATTTTTATATTATCATCTATTTTATTTTTATTATCTTCTTTCTTTTTTTTTGTTTTATTTTTGAAATAAAATAATGTGGGGGAGGGGGGAGGGTTTTTGTTTCTAAAAGGATGATATGTATGGGACTTTGTGTGGATATTTTAATAATAAAAACCATTCCCAAGTGAATATACGAGTCTTAAATGCACAAATTATAGGGTAGGTAAGTTATTTTTCCTTTTGGTTTTATCCAAAAAAAAAAACAAAAAAAACTATAGGGTAGGCTGTAGTAATTACATGAAATTACAAGGGGGTGTCATAGTAAATGAACCAAACATAAAACAAGGCCCTTCCTAAATCCCAAGTTCCTAACCAATAAATGAACTGCATTGTTAGCAGAGCGGAGAGATGTGAACACAAATTGCAAGCCTTTCCTTTGGATGATGAGTTTTGTTTGGAATTGTGGACATTTATTCACTAACTATTTGTATTTGATTTGTTTGTATAACCGAGAAAAATAATAATGAACTTATTTATTGGCACTTAGGCACCACTAGATGCCATTAGGCACCACATCAGCAAAACAGTGAATAAACACCTACCTGTTAGTTTCCCCCAACGGTAGACATGCACATAAATCAAGGCCTGTTTTTTTCGAATCTTTATGCATGCTGATCCGCATAATGGGGAAATGCTGAAATGGTGCCTATGTGATAGTGTGTATTCAATAACGCCCATGGTTACAAACACACGCTGGTTCTATTCTCGTTGAAGCATACTCTCAAGTCATCACTCATTGTCTATTGTCTTTAAAAGGAGAGGCTCCTTGGAGAGTTTCATCCTTTGTATACGATTGCAGACACCTCTTGTCTCTTAATTTGCCATCCCTGTCTTCTTTTGCCCCAAATAGATCATGTAATAGAGTTGGACATATTCAAGTAAAACTTGCTGTTAATTCGGACTCAAATTGTGGTTGGGTGGGGTATTGTCCAAATGTCCTTTTAGACCTGATTGCTGAGGAGTGTTTGTAATTTTATTGTTAAATGAAATTAAGGGGCATTTGGTAACATCTGAAGGTGTAGGATTAAGGGTCTGTTTGATTCATGGGAAGGGGTTTGGATTTGGAATCGGAATGGTTCATTCTGATTCCAACTATTTGGTTGTTGGGCAGAATCAGAATCCCATTTCCATTTTGGGTGGAATGTAATTCTCCGTTTGAGAGAATGACCATTTCCTCCCCCTTTCTTGAAAATAAGAATCAATTTCAGCTGATTCAATTTTGATTCCAAGTTCGACTCCTGTCCCGTAAAAACCAAACAGGTGGGAGGAATAGAGACAAACCATTCTAATTCTAGTTTTGATGGATTTGGATTCCGATTCCAACTGTGAACCAAATGGACCCTGATAAAGCAATAAACATTTTAGTTTTAGACATTAACCTTTTGGGGTGTTTAATAAAAAACTTTAGAATTAATAAATTAGATTTGGGAGTTATATAAATTTATTTTCTTATTTATAATTATCATCATCATCATCTATGTTTTATCCCAATTATATGGGGTTGGCTATGTGAATACCATTAATATATTCTATTTAAAGCCATATCCATTATTAAATTATTAGTGTTTGAATAATTTCTTACTACTTGTACCTATATCTTTTTTGATCTACCCCTAGTTCTTTTAGTCCTTTCCACTTGTAACAAATCATTTTTTATGATTTGAATGAAGACCCATTTCGTGTCATGAGGGTTTGACAAAAGTTTTAAACTTTTAACATCAATGTCCAACCTAATGCAATCCTCATCCTTTATCTAGGCTCTGGACCAGTAGTTTAAGGCAAATTCAAGCGGAGTTAATTATCTAAGACTCACCATGACTTGTTAGAATTTCTTTAACTCCCCATGCCTTTTTAAAATGTCCAGGAGCCCCATGTCAGTAATTTAACCTTAAGGCTCCGTTCGTTTTTTGGCAAGTTACTTACCCGGGTAAATGCATTTACCTAGGTAAATATTTCCCAGAAAAGACTTATTCGGGTAAGTGCATTTACCCATATTCTTTTATTTCTCATGTAAATAAGGCAATTACCATTTTGGCCATAGAAGTCCAATATTAAAATAGACATTTTTGTCTCATTCAAGTATTGGCAACTTTCCTCGCAAGTGAAAAAGTTATTTGCCCACGTAGGAGATGGGTATCATTTACCTGGTCCCCCCATATATTTGAAAAAAGAACATGAATTTCTTTGTCAATAGGAATCAAAATCCCATTAACCAACTTTACCCCCTCTCAAAATTCAGAAAAAGAACGTCCCCTAAAAGATTAACGGATGTTGTTAGATAATCATTTTACCCCTCCATTTATGTTTATAACCCTGCACTATTTCAGAAATGCCTCTACCATATTCGACCCAAATCCCTGCTTGTTTCAAACCTCACCTAAGCAAAACAATATAGTTTCTGCTGTTGCATCTTCAAATGTCGCCATTGCTGAACGAGAATCCAGAGGTGGCCATGCCATCCATGGACCTGATTTCCAGTTTCTCTCTTCCAAATTTGATAACTCCATCCAAAGCTCTCATCGCTGCTGCGACTTATTTGTCGTTGTCATCATCTGTCCTCCTCAACTTCTCTTTTGCCTATGACAACACTTTTCAACTCTCTATTTCAGCAAAATCCAATTTCAATATATCACTAATAGCAACAATCAAGATGGTAACGACAGCAAAACCATCTTATTGACTGTCTGAAATCATGGAATCCTCGAAGACCCAGAACCTTAGCCTATAGCTCCAAACGTTGGGAGTTGGACTCTTCTTCAGAATTACAACCATCAAATATTAAAAACCAAGAGAGAGCTTGGTAGGGTAGGACTCATAAGACTCCTGTTGGGAAGGGAAATTCTTCATTTGGACTCCACTAGATTGTGCAAAGATGCATTGAACATGGAGAGATCAATATTCGGAATTGGTTTGTTTATTGGAGCTGTAGCAGTCCCCAGTCTGGTATGGCTATGATTGCGGTTGCAGAACAGCAGAACTTCTTGCCATCAACGACACGGATCTTTACCATTCCAAGGTTCTTAGATGTGGACAACACCTCAATTCCTTGTCTCTAGCTTATCTTAGATTAATTATTTATTTGTTTTCTTCTAACTCCCAGCTTATTAGATTCTAGAAAAGAATTAGGTTGAGGTTCAAGGTTTTAGACTAAGTATCTGATTGATTCCTCCATGAGAGACCTCACCCACATGATTGGGGGACTTGAATGGATGCAGATGTCGAAGAGCTTTTTAATAAAGTGGGGCATTCTGATTTAAAGCTTGCAATTGAATTAGATGCTACACCTTGGATTCATACAATTCATTGGCTTTATTGAATGTTGATAGTCATAGTTTCATGTTGTGACTACCTTCTCTTTCTTACCAACGATGAGGAGGCAAGTTGTTCATTCTCCCTCTTTTCTACCATGTATACTCTAAAGACTAATTAAAGAGTTTGGGGGTTCAGTTTGCCATGCCTTCTGACCAAATTTCTCTTCTTTGTAAGAATTGTTAATGAACTGATTTATTTCCATCCAGATTCCACACTTTAACGGAATTAATTCCTAGCTAATTTCATGCTTTGATATCATTTCTGCAATGAAGCACAACTCAACAAAATGTGGAGTTTTAGCGTAGTTGATTAATCTCCTTTCTCATGAACATTTATCCTAGTTAGGGAGCTTTCTTCAAACACCTTCAAGCAGCACATTGAAAGCACTCTTGCCGAGCAACTCGTCGCTCAATGAGTGGGAAATGTTCTACACAAGGCCCCCGCGCGGTTATGGGCACTTTAGTCATAAAAATATGTTTAATAAGACTGTCTGGCCATGGCCATTCAGGGGCAGTTTGATCATGAAAATTATATTAATGCTGATATCGAAAACTTCTATCAATGATTATTAGGTCCTGTTTGTTCATTTTTCGTAAATTATTTTTTTGAATAAACGATCATAGAAAGGGAAAGTTGCCTTATCTATGTTCTTTCATTTTCCATGTAAAAAAGATAATGACCATTTTGACCATAAAAATCCATTACTAATAAAGGCATTTTTTATCTGGTTCAAATATTAATAACTTTTCTTAGAGATAGGTATCATAATTCCATTAACTAATTTCCCCCCTCTCAAAATACAAAAACGGAATGCCCCCTAAAAGTGATATAACGGAATGTAAGTATTGGAGAACGAAAACTCATTAACATGGAGTTCACTTGACCTTTTGAAAACCCATGGTGAGTTTAAAAGGAAAATGCTAAAAAGAGATAGTGAGTTTTAGATAATTTCTTTTTCTTATTTATAATATATTTTAATTAATATTTAATTTTATAAATTTATACTAATTTTTAATTATAGATTTACTAAAATTTAATCAAATTGGATTTATCCAAACATATAACAATCGAATTCGGATCTATGTTGTGCACATCCCATATCCGTCACAGATTGATTAGGATTATAGGATATACTATATCCGAAGTCGATCCGATCCGTTTGCATTCTTAAGCTGATTTCGCACACGTGCGACACTAGAGGATTACATACCTGAATTAGTTCCGCCATTGGAGTGTCAGACACAGCTCCGTTCTTACAGCGTCCAGCTCTTCGATTGCTCTGCGCGATCATGGCAACTCTACCAGACGAGGCCGTCAAACTTGAGGCTATGCGAAAAGAAGACTCGTCTTGGCACCCTAGCGTGGTCTCTTTGAGGTCTGTAATGTTCCTTTTAACTTTAGCTTATCGTTCTTTCCTGAATTCTTTTCCGAGAAGGTAGGGTCCTTTCTCCGAAAATAGTCAGAATACCTTAGTGCATTTTACGTCCAATTTCTGAAATGGTCAATGATAAAATAGGGTCCCTTCTCTGAAAATACCTTGCTGCATTTATGTTCCTTTTACTGAGACTGAATTGTTTATTCGGGGTTCCCTTCTCTTCCGTGTTAAATCTAAAACTAGATATATTTCCCCATGAATATTTTCTAAATTCTAATTCAATTCCTTGCATACCCATACCCTTCCACATCGTTCAGATCAGTTGGATGTATCTTTTTTTTTTTTTAATTTATTTATTTTTCTTTGTCCGATATTGGGTTTGAAAGGAAATGTTCCTGCGTTGCCGTCTGATTTTATTCTTGTCAACTCCAACTGAAGCGGTTGATCGACGCAAGATGCCTCTATGCATTTTTTTTTTTTTTTTAATGATTTGAATATAAAGCGCCTTCTTGATTCAGTAATCTTTAGTTCCTGACCTAACACAGTTCAGATACGTCTACTGGAGTTGGTCTTATTGTAAGCTTTGGAAGTCAAGATCCGGAAGACATCATATTCACTGAGGAAGAAGCTCTGAGACGTATTCGTTTCCGTTCCATTCCTCTTCGAGGTGATGATTGTACTCATATTAAAGAAGGAGAACCTGTTCTTGCTGCTCATAGGACAAGATTCAGGAGTCTCTTCTTTGATGCCAAGGTTGAAAAGGTACGCTTATGGTTGGTTGGAACTTGGAAGGTTTTTATAGTGTTTCACAATATGGTTAAAGTTGGATACCAGGGGATTTCGTTGTGTATCAAATAGCTAGAAAATTAAAGTGTCCTGAATGCTGGATATTTCCGTGCATGTTAAATATTTTTGGAGACAGTTGAAGTTGAGGCCACTCCTGGTCTCCATTGGTAGGGTCGTAGGGATGCAACAATGCCTGGGCTGAACCTGAATTGATTGCTTGGTGTGTAACTTACATTTTAAGACCTCCAATGGTGCTTCGATTGGGATATCTCATCTGCATTAGTGTTACTGTTGATCTTGTTGCTTCTATTTTTTTATTAGTCTTTGTTACTCGTATGGTTATTCCCATTATTTTTGCAAAAAGGTATTACGTACCTTGTTAGAACTTTCATGGCGACTCTATATGGAAAAAAAGGTCATGTTACTTGTATGGGAGCCTCCCTACATGACCAACCCTATTTCTGCCACATAGAGGATGGTATAACCAATCTGAACTGTCTACCATGCAGTATTCCCTCTCGATTGACTACCAGGGCAACCTTGTAGTCCACATTGCCCTGTATCCCACCTTATATTAGTACTTTCTGCAAGTAATTTTGGCTGTTGAAACTTCCAAGATTTTAGTACTAAAGTTGCCCCAAAAGCAGGCTTCATTCTGACCATGTGACAAGGGTTCTGGGGCTAAAATTTGGCCAACTAATAGTGGTTGAGGAACATATGGGGCTACCTCTAGCCCATTATTTCAAAGATCCTAGTGTTCCATCAAGCAGATCATATCTTTAGCTCAACGACTACAAGCACAGCAAGTGGAATTTCAGTTGTCTATGCTTGGTGTTATTGTTTTTGAACTTCTTGAGTGCATTTTTCTTATACTTTGCTATATAATTTTTTGTAACCTCTGATTGTAATTTTCAAATGGGTAAATAATAATCAGCTGTTTGACTGAGAGGCATATTCACAAGAAATGCATTTGGGAAGCTACTGCAATTCCTTCAGGAAGGAAAAAGGAGGTAGTTCAGACATTGACTTGGAGACAATCATCATGATGCGGGAGATAAAGAGTCGAATATTTTTGGACAGTAGGGGTATTTTTGTTATTTTATAATTTGTCTGTGGGGTGCAGTGATATGGCCCATTATAGTTTGTTTATGTTTAAAGTTTCAGAGTCATTGAATAAGTAGGATTAGAGTTATCGAGTCTTCTTTGAATTGAAATAGGACGATGGCAGTTCAGTTTGAGTCCTATTATGCTTCATATGAGTCTAACAGTTTGCTCCTAGGGTGTATGTATACGTTTTACACAAAAATCAATGAATTTTATTGAGCTTTCTTGAACTTATGCTAAATATGGTGAGTGATTCTCACACCCTAGAGTGATTCTAGACACCCCGCGAGTAGGGCTGTCAATGGACTCTAAACGTCCAATTTCTGATTTGACTCCAAAACCGATTATCCCGGATTTGGATGTTAGAACTTGCATCCAATTAATAATCAGATCAGAAGCGGGTTTAACCCCATCTGATTCGATTAAAATCTGCATTCAATAAAAATTATTATTTTATGTTTATATGTAGTATAATTATATAAAGTTTATAATTAATATGTTTATTATACATATATAAGTTAAAAATAATTGTTTTTTTTTTAATGTTTTAATTCTTTGGTCATTTTAAACACAATAAGATGGTTGCAGTTAAATTTGAATCCGACCCGAAACCCAACATGATAATCGGATGCGGATGCTGATGCAGCTAGATCCAATCTGAATCTGATCTGTTTACAACCCTATCCATGAGTGATTCCAGGTGTTCTCTCTCTTCTTTTTTTTTTTTTTTCTATTTTCTTTCTTATTCCTTCAAGAAGACATTATAACCATTAACAACCATAAATTTCTGATCATGAGAGTTCATTTAACATCCTCAAAGTGTTGGAATTGAACTGGTCCTACATTACATACTTACATCATCATCATCATCATCATCATCTAAGCCTTACCCCAACTATATGGACTCGGCTACATGATCCTTTTTTGCCATTCTGTTCTGTTAGTGCCATCGTAAGTGCTTAATTCATTTATTACTACTTCAGCTCATGTCCTTTTTAGCCTGCCCCTAGCCCTTCTAGCCCCGTTAACTTCCAACTGATTGCTTGGTCTTCTATGCATGTGACAAAACTATCTTAGTCTTACTTTCTCTCATTTGCTCACTTATTAGATCCACTCCTATGTTCCTTTGAATGGCTTCATTTTTTACCTATCCTTTCTAGTTTTTCCACTCATCCGTCTCAACATACACATTTCTGCCACACTAATTTTTTGGACATGTTGTTTCTCGACTCCCCAACACTTCGCTCCATATGGCATTGCTGGCCTTACAATTATTATTATTATTTTTCCTTTGAAAAAAGGTAGAGCATATAGATTTTCCTTCTAACCTAAGTGGTGTTCTACTATCACACAAGACTCCGGATACATCCCTCCATTTTTCCCATCTTGCTCTAATTCTGTGGGAAACATCCCCCTCAATCTCCTTGTTATGAGTTATCAAACCAAGTTAACAGAAAAGGTCGACTTGAGTTATCTCTTGGCCTCCAACACTAAGTGTACTTTGATTTGCACACCACCAGGGAGATGGCATGAATAGTTTCTTTTGGAAAACAATTTGAAACTGACTTCGATGAAATATGGATATGAAATTTCTCATGATTGAAATGATCATGGGAGAGAGCAGGAAATAAATATAAAAGAACAAAGATGTAAGGAAGAACTATAAAGTGAAAGAGGAGGGGATAATTAGCTCAGAAAGTTCTGATCTATTTCTAAAGGAACAGTATTAGAGAAAATAAAAGAGAAGGCAACCTTACTTGTTACGAAAAAAGGGGGAAGGTTGAATATAAATATAACAAGAGAAGAAAAGTGAGGTTCCAATTGTCTTTCAGCAAAAGGTATAAAACTAATTAAAGAGATGCTTAGCAGTTTGTGCTAGTGCACCATCTAGCAACTCAACTTACACTTTCTTTGGACTACTTGAACCTTTTGCTTTGCATCCCCTTTGCTTCTGATAGTGGCAACTGCACTTCCAACTCCTTGTGTTCATTATAACCATGCTTAACCAGATTTTATTTACTAATCTGCAGGCATGTAGGGTAAGGCACTCAAAGAAGGTATACTGTAGATGCACTTTTGAGATCAAATGGCTACCTCCTCAGTTTAAAGGAGAAATAGCAACTGTCTCATCTAGTGCAATCATGAGACTGGATAGAAACAGCATTGACACCTATCCAGCAGTTGCTGCATTCTTGAACTCAGTAAAAGCCAAAAATGGTTCAGGTGCATCTACATTTCTGTCCCTTTTTGAAGACATGAATTGTGATATGAACCTTGATGGATTGCTGGAAAAGCAAATGGAGGAGATTAACCATTTAGTTGGTATGTCTAAAAAGGGATGTCCGGAAGAGATTCTGTTGGGACATGAAAGAGGTATGCACCATATCTACTACTTAATTGATTTAAATATTGAGTTTCTTCTATTTGCAAGGTACCATAGATATATTTATCATGCCACTTTTTTGAATACAGATTATCCTAGAGGATCAATACAGTGCAAATTTGTTACTGAATCACATCTCAACTTTCAGGATGTTCAAGTTCCCCATGACCTAAAAAATTTGAGAAGGTCCACTAGAAGCCAGAGCAAACTAAAGATAGAGATTGAGGGCAATAATTCATCCCTTGTTCAGTCCATTCCAGTGGATGCTTTTGGGAACAGGTCCCATCTCAGTCCTCTAGCTGCTCGTGCAGCCCTGGCTTCACTAGTATACCAATTGCCCCAAAAGCCATTGTCTGTCAGCTGCATGGAGAAGGAAGACTTCACTAATGTTTCTGAAAAAACTCCTGAGAAGCATGTTAATATGGTGTCTATGAATGTAAATAATGTGGTCATTAATCCTGATGTCTGTATCATAGAAAATGTATCCATGGCGGGTGGGTTTTCAGATGTAGAAGCTCGTGCAGATCGAGTTATTCCAAAACCTGCAAAGAATGTAAGATTACCCAATTCTGGTAGAAGGAATGGTTTGAACAAACCTCAGATGGAGGAATTTCCCGGAATGCTGACAAAGCAAGTGAAGCATGGATATGTGCTGGATGACCTAGAAGAGAGTCTTACTTGTAAAGTAAGTGCACGGAAGCTTAATTTCCATGTCAATATGACTAGGTTGACTCGTTCAGGCATCCATGAAGTTATGGGAGATTCAAATAAAGTTGAGGTGAAGTCCTCTGCAGATGATATGAAGTCAAGTAGCCCGGCAACTACAAAAAGGTTGACTCGTTCAACAATTGAGAAAGAAAAAGGGAATTTAACCATGAAAGTCAAACAAGACTTGCAAAATGGGAAACCTACTCAATATGAACAGCCAGACTCCACTGAGATTCCTGTTAAGCGGAAGATCGGTGAAACCACAAAGAAGAAATCATGCTCTTCCCCCATTGATACTGAACTGGACTTATCCCTGGTCCAAGATAGTAAAAAGCAAAGGCGCTGCAGTGCTATTGTGACTACTAAAAGAGATGAAGGTGATTGTGAACAAACCCAACTACTTGTTTGTGTATATACTTATCAGGGAACATTTGTGATGCGTTACAAACACCAAACATTAGAATTCAAATATGATACTGATTTAGACATTGCCTGTGTCATAAACACCATTACATATTGTGGTGATTTTAACAATGAACCATCCTAAATGTTTTACTTTTTATTTTTTTTATTTTTTTTGAAGATGTATAAGTATATATTAAGACAAAAACAATAGAAGAGCCCCATATACACCAAGAACCTGTATACACTGGGAATGTACAGCCTTACACCTCTTAATTATACAAAGAGAGTTTTTTGTAGGTCTGGTTCATTAAATGGTTACAACGATCTACTTATAGTCATTTATGTGAAGATACCACTGGATCATTCATCCCCCACCTCTTTGTATGGTTCATTTTCATGGATATAATGTTGTAATTTTTAATAGTTTGTGGGTCTCAATTTTGTTAAAGACTCAATATGTAGGTTGATATGGCAGGTAAACTTTCAACTGATACTGGAGGTCAACAAGATGAGAAGAAGAAACCCACATATTCTAAAAAGAAGCCTGACTTGCGGTTCTCCCACCGTCTTAGGTTCCTCCCTCGCACACGTTCACAAGTGAAGAATAGAGCAGATTAAGGATGAACAATGTAGTGAGTATTGTTAGATCCTTTTTATAGATGTGTTTACCGTGCATAGCTCAAGTAAGAAGCCAGAGAATTGGATTAAATGAACTCTACAAACTTATGCTTTGGATACAAGTTTGCCTTTAGCTCACAATTTGAATCAGCTTCCTGGAGCTGTGCTATCATACAGACTTATAAACTGCATCTCTGTAAACAAATAGAATATGTAGCTCTGTAAATAGAAAAAGTAATATGAGTTTTGATGGCTCTGGAATTGGCCCTCACAGTTGTTTCTTCTTTCCCAGTGTCACACGGAATATCAGTTTTTAGTAGAGAACATTATCTAATACATTGCTAAAGTATAACATTTGGGAACTTAAGGTCAACATAATAAATTGAATTTTAATAATTTTGTCTTTGTAAAAGATTTGTACCACACTACTTACCTTTAATGACTTTTATTTTGGACTTGAGGGTGAAGGTTGCATCATTAAACATAGGTTTAGCGATTGGAGGAGTATAGGTAAAAGCTTTAGGGAATGGCTATTCCTGGGTAACTTTGTATTTTCTCTTCCTTTGTAGATCGGGATGTTCAACCACATGAACTTTTGGTCCTTTTCCTGTGCACAGGTTAGTGCACCTTCACTTACAATTATTAATCAAGGATGAATCCTTTTGACCCTGATACTGATCATAAAAAGGTCATTAATCTGTTGAATCTGACTGTTGACAGAGGTAATTATCAGGAACAGCCATTTTTTTGTTATGTACTGATCCTCCAAGCATGTAAGAATGGCAAGTTTTTGGGAGGCCTTGTATTGCACTAAGCATCCTGTGTCACCAGACTCAAAAATTTTGCCATAAAATTGTGTAAGCATTGTTAGACACATGATTCTTCCTTACTATATCAATAATCGTTATTCTTTGCTTGATTTCCTGCAACATCACATGTAACTTGCAAATCACTGCTTCAGAATTTTTGCCTGACCATCGTACTTGCAAACCTCTTTATGGTAATGACGGAGAAAGTAGAGAAGGATTTCAAAAAGGTTCAGCAGAAGACTTTAACGGAGAAAGTAGAGAAGGGGGAGAGTGAGAGTAATATGGTGAGCAAGGGAGAGCAAATAACTCAGAAGGCAGTGGAGGAACAGAGGATATATATACCAGTTGCTTGCTCTGTAAAATCAAATAAGTTGGTGTTGGAAGTGGATAAACATAGGTGGAAGAACAGATGTGTTGATAGCTGGAAAAAAAGATAAAACGACTGGCAGCTCATTGCAGAGGAAATAGTGAAGAAATTTAGCCTTGAGAAACCTGTTCTGGTAGTGCCTTTTAGTGAAAACAAAGCCATCTTCGACGCAGGGGAGGCGAAGATAGGGCTATCTTCTATCGAAACCCAGGAAGGGTTGATAGTCATTGAAGAATGGTGTATGTCTTGTAATGAGCAAGATATTACAGTAGGAAGTTTCAACATAAAGCTTGTTGGGGTGTCGTTCAATTTCTAGAACAAGTTGACAATAGAGAAAATAGTCCATGCGTTGGGTGGCTTGATGGAGGATTGCAGCTTCAGAAATATGACAGCGATCAAAGCAAGAATCCGTGGGATCAAGCCGGAGGAGGTACCTCATCTGGTGACTATATTCTTGGAGGAGCTATGGAGGAAGATATGAATATTGAATGAAGTGGAAGCATCTCTGTGGAGGAGTTGTTCAAAGGAGGAAGGCGAAGGTGACGTGGAGGAAGGAAGCACATGCGGCAGGAATCAAGAAGGTAAGAAAGAGGGCAAACTTTTCTGGGAAGGTGAACAGTTGGGTCCCAAAGAAGTATTGGGCAGCCACCTTGAAAAAGAAAGTAATTCAAAAAATTTTAAGTTCAAAAGGCAGGAGGTCGGACCATCATATGCTGACGTGGTTAGGAGGTCGGAGTCGGTGTGGGTCAAGACTAAAAACAAAAAACCAATTTAAACCAGGTCCAGGATTATCGGTTCTTAGGGTCAAACCAGTGTTTTAAAAGGCGTGCTCATGTGCCTCATGCACATTTTATATAAAAAGACAGAAAAAAAAAGGAAAAAAAAAGGAAAGGAAAGGAAAGGAAAGGAAAGGGAAGGGAAGGGAAGAAAAGATAAGGGGAAAGAAAGTGGTTTGCCCCCTGCCCCGTTCAACCAATGTTATGCATCTTTATTCTTCTTAATATAAAAGATTTTACTAAAAATAAAGAAAAAGTGAGATCTCCCTTCCTCTTCATCCTTCTCCCCTTCCTCCTCCTAACCCCCCTCCTCTTAAGGAGGCTTACACCTCCTTGTGTCTGGGAGGCTTATGCCTCTTGTGTTCTGAACTACGCCTCACGCCTCTAGGTAGTGGAACGCCTCAAGTCACGCCTCCTCATTTTAAAACATTGGGTCGAACCAGGGGAGAGCTCATGTGACTCATTTAATAGTCATGTGAGGAGTAAGTTAGGGGAGAAGATTGCAGACGATGCTTGGGGTCTATCATCGTTTCCAAAGAGTACTGGTTCAATACAAGACTCGAAGAAATTGAAAAAGGAAAACTGACAATGGGTGTCTCGACCCTCTTACAATGAACAAGTGGTGGGGAAGCAGAGTACGGATTGCCCTAAATTCGAGATACTCTAGGGAGCAACTAGAAGACATGGATGTGGAAGATGACGGGTGGGTCAACTGCAAATCTTCAGATGGGGAGGAAGGAGACTCGACAAACGCTTCTATTGCGGACAGTTTGGATGACAAGATTGTAGTGGTAGCTAATGAGGAAGACATGCTTGACACTACTATTCTTTTTGATGCTAAGCAAGTCATGGGAAGAGCAACCCCTTGTATGCTCCAATCTGAGGAAGTGAAGGGAGTAAATAATTTGGAGTGTGTTTTGGTTGATGGGGGAGGCAATCTGGAATTGAGTAAAGATAAACATGACCATTTAATGAACAATGGGTGAGAATATGGTGAGTAGGTAGGAGATGCTTATCGTGGGCCAACTAGAGGCGACCAAACTAGGGATGAGCTACAAAGTCAAAGGAGTTTATCGTAAGATAAGCATATGACAAGAACTGTGTCCCAACATTTTGTCTCAACTATGGAGAATTGCAAACATCAATCTTCAAGTGTAGTCAATTCATGGGCTGGTAGACAATGGATGGGACTCTAGGGTCCTAGCAAGGACTACAAGAGCATCTCCCTGGAAAGCTATTCAAGCCATCTTGCCCTTGTTCTCTCCATGGATCAGGTATGATTTGCACTCAGGTAACCTCATTAAATTTTGGGAACATGTTTGGGTTGGGGATTCCTCTTTGAAAGATCAATTTCCAGGCCTCTTAGCTATCTCTACCCTTAAAAATGAACCGGTTTCCTCTTTCCTTGTACCTTCTAATTCACCTTCTGGTTTCGGATGAAACCTGAGTTTGAGAAGAGATGTCAGGGACAGAGTTAGCCTGTATTTTATCCTTATTATCCATTCTTGAAGGGATCTTCATTGAGACATCAAAGATAGATAATATAATTTGGACACTCACTCCCTCGGGTTCCTACACTTGTGCCTCTTTCTTTAAGGCCCTTTTACCCCCTTCTCTTGTTGGATTGTCATTCCCTGTTAAAGAAGTGTGGTGTCAACCTATACCTCCAAAGGTTGGGAGTTTTTGTTGGGAAGTCTTTCTGGAAAGAGTTAATACAGGGGATCTACTTCAAAGAAAAAGACCCAATAGTTGTTTGTCCTCATTGGTGTGTCCTCTGTAAATCCGATGGTGAGTCTGGATACCATTTACTAATTTCTTGTCAGTTTGTTAAAGTTATTTGGGAATGGTTTACTTCTTTGTTTGGGTGCAGGTGGACTCTCCCTTTGAATGTGCAAAGCCTATTTACTTCCATGCCTAACTGGCCAACCAAAAGGGCCAAGATCATGTGGAGATGTGTTAGGGCTGTAATGTGTTGGACTGTTTAGGAGGAGAGAAACTCAAGGATATTCTCAAATAAGGAGAGAAGCTTGGAAGTAATCTTGGAGATTGTTAAAATAATGTTAAAATAATTTAGTTGTTGATGTTAGGGCCTGTTTGGCTAATTAAAGTGTTTTTTATTTCGTTTTTCTTTCTGTTATGTCTGTTATTGTACTCAGGGGCGCAAGGGTCTTTTCCCTTGTTATTTCTGCTGCCCTATATATATTAAAATAAAGGCTGGTGCCGCCAGCAGTGTTACATTGCAAAACCCTTCTTTCTTTCTTCCCTCCTCTCTTCTCTTCTCTTCTTCTCCTCTTCTCTTCTCTTCTCTTCCTCTTATTTCTGGYCRGCCATACTGTCAAGATGGTATCAGAGCGGGAATACTGATTAAAGAGAGTAGATCGAACAACCTTACTGAGAGAACAGATCAAACAGACTAGCAGAACCTGGGCAGAATAGAAATTTGATTCAGGACTGAAAAAACAGCTACGACTGGTACAGTTCTCCTTGTTTTTCTCTTCTTTACCCTCCTTGGTCATGTGCCGAATGGAAACCCTATGAGTCTGGGCGGCTGAATGTTGTCGAATCTGTGTACCCCCTATTTTTTTGGATCGTGTGATCCTGTTCATGTGTTATGACAACTGTAGGTCAAGGATGACCTGTCTTCTCAATGGTTTGATTTGACTATAAGTAAGAAGGATCTCTCCTGCTGATTACGGTTGTTAGACATTCTGGAATTCTGGTAAGTTGGGACTGTAAAAACTATACAGGTCTAAAATCTGCCAAATAGTACCTCTGKTTTGTCCGGAATTTGGTACTGTTTGTGCTCAACCTGGTTGTTAAACCCAAGTGTGTGGGTGTGAACTGAGTGGAGCATTGTTTTGTGGAGTAAAGAGGGGTCCTAAGTCCGGTGTTTGGGACTGAT